GCTTGATTGATTCCTAGCAAATCACTTCCTGCAAGCATTATTTGCAAAACTTTATTATGGGCAAAGGCTATTTTTGTGTTCATGAGCCATCGTTACCAGGGAGCATTTCATTACCAAGTGATGACATTGTGTAAAATATCCTGATTCATGGGCAAATGCCAGCACCACTTCTTGACAATGGGTGCATCTTACTCAGTAGCCCCCAACAGATGTCAACCTTAAAATTTGTCAACTTCACAATAGTAGCCCGTGTTCTGACATCCTTCAACACGTTGGGTGCTCTGCTGACAAAAAGCCTATTCCACTGAAACCCCAAGTAGGTTTACGCTTAAGAAAGAATTTCTCCAGAGATAAGTGGGCAGGTTGAGCAATGACTTGGTCACTTTGTCTGGCCTGGATTGTTCCTGCTGCTCCCCCATGCTGAGCACCAAGGCACAAAGTACGGACGGAGTGAAGCAGGACAAAAATCCATGAGGGTCAGAAGTCCACAGCGTGTTCCGAAGTCTGCCAGCGGACTTGCCTCATGACCAGGATATATCCATTCAAATTTCTGTGCCTTGCTTTCTCCTTCTGTAAAATGAAAATCCTAATTTTTAAAAGCATTCCTAGTGTTTATGCACCAAGCACAAGTGTGAAATGGTATTGCAATCAGAACAAATATATCCTCTGTCAATGTGCTGTAAAAGGTTTAACTGTGGTGCTTATTTAGGTTCTGATCTTATAAAGATTTAAGCCCACTTATGAATGTGAGTAGCCCCGTGGAAGACTAGATTACACATGCACTTAAGTGTTATCAGATTGAAGTCATAGAACAACAATCACAAAAGGTACTTAATCACCTTTAAATTACAGTGTTCCTAATTTAGCTAATGTTATTCCCCAAGGAAAAATTGCCTCATCTAGCATACAATCAAGAAAGAATCAAGGGCTGTTCCTTCAAGTGGTTGACAGTTCAAAAAGAGATATGATTTTAAAAGAATAGGTTGCTAAAGGCTGAACTATTTAATTGAATTATCTCTTTAAGAAATTGATGCAAATTAATATTATAATACTCCATTTTATTGCTACAGAATCTTTCATCCTTGAGCCTTCATAAACTATATTAATAAACTCAAGTAGCATATGTATACTTTTTTTTTTAACGAAACCAGTAATCTGTCCCCATTTGAGGCTTTCTAGTAACAATTTATATTTTGAAGGATGATGGTGTTTTCTTCTTTATAGACTGAGGAAAAAGAGCCCAAGAGCTTCCAAGGGGTGGAGTCCCTGACACGATATGCTCCAGTCCTCGAGGTGCTCACAGGGTACAATCCTGCTCTGTCTATGAAAGCAGATCAACTCACTTTGCAATGCCTAATTGGAGAGAAAGGTACGATAACAGGCAACAAAGCCAGAAGGATGACAAAAGGAATTGATTAATCCATTTGAGACAGTTGTCTCAATACCATTACAAATATTAGATAGTGACCCTTCCCTATCACTACTGAAAAATCTGTATTATATTGTTCACTGACCATACATGGAGGTGGGGACCTGGTGAAGGAGAATTCCCTTTTTTTCATAAGCATATGTTTACAGTATTGCAGTTTCAGAACAGGAGAAATAACAATGTTGTGGTTCTCCAGCTTTATCTGGGTTATTTCTATGTCCCAAATTGTTTTTAAATTACCAAGTAGCATTACTGTAGTGGGGGTACCTCTGCAATCATTTCTGCTTGCTGCTTGCTGGCAAAATAACAGCTGTTATTGCTTTACCAGGATTGATTTCCATAGAACAGCTCCATCTAAAGCCTACCTACAGGCAACAACTCTGCAGTAAAATATCAATGCAGTCTCATTTTCGGCTTTTCTCAGAAGGCAAAAAAAAGGCATTTTCAGCAAAGTTCAACATGGGATGTAATTTATTCAGGACACATAGAGGACGAGATGCTTATTTTTCAGGGACTAAAGTAGTCTTCCACTACCCTCCTCACCAACAAATAGGGAAGCTGCCCCTAGGTATATCTATGCACAAGCCACGAAATCTGAGAATCGGGGTTTGTGTGTCATATCAAGGGGTTTGCAGAGAGGCCACATTTTAAAGTAGGGGGCAGGTGACATGTTCTCGTTCACATGTACCATCTCAGACTGGTAGATCACAAAAGGAGCTGAGGTCTATCACCTCCTTCCAAGCAACACTGCTCTTAAAACTCTTCCACAATTAACCTCAGTAAATGTCCAAGGGGGTTCCCATGGACAAGGTTATGTGGGCGCTTTCATCCCATGCAGGTCTGGAGTGGCACCAACAGTGTATTTCCACATTCACTGCTCAGCCACAGCTTCCTCCCTGCAGCATCCCTGTCACCAGCACCGGAGCTCAGGCAGTCGTGTGATGGGTCACTCAGGGTCCTGATTTGGCTGAAAACTAAGGCTACGAGATGATTTTGTCCCAGAGGAGGACCCTTCCTCTTTGTGTTTCACAAAGAAGGGGCAGCCTGTATAACCATTCCCATGCTCGTTCCCCAGTAGATACCTTCTTATTTCTCATCTACAGCCAACACAGGTTTAGAAACAGAACTGTTGATCTGAACCCTCTTTCAGTCTGACTTCAGTACCTTATGTCAAGTTCTGGTGTGGACACATTCACTTCACAAAACCAGGCCTTAGCTTCACATTTTAAAGGTGCTCAACTGATGCAACTTGAAGTCATGTCCTAAATTAACTTGGATAACATTTCCAAGTAGTAGTCAAGCAGAAAGAGAAAAAAAAACAGGTTATACTTGCAGTTACATACATGCTTAAATGCTCTGAAGAAATAAAGCCTATAGTAGGTCTCACTTTTGCAAATATCTCATGTTCTCATCTTTATAGCAACATTACCTTTGACTTCAGTATAATTACACATATATATCAAAGTTGCCTGTTGGGCTCTATCTCCAGCACGGATATTAGTCCAAACCTTTGTCAGCCATCTTTCCCTTTAGGTGTTATATAAAAAGGATCTGAGCTCATCTGTACTTTCCATCAAGCAATAATTTTTACTAAATCACTATTCCTGAAGTCTCTGAGATCTGTATTTATTGGTACATGCAGAACTCAGTGTGTTGAACCACCTCAGGACATGGTCATGTGAAACATAATGCAACACTTTCTCCTATAAAGGAAAACATTATTTTTTGCCAGTTCGTAAATCCAGCTTTTAAAACAAGGATTACATTCACAAAGAAATGGTTTAGAAAAGAAATAAAACATATTTCAATGGGCAGACTTCCAACTCTATGTAGGTGTGGAATAGTCAGGCTCCTTCTCCCCACCCCCATCTCTTTAATTATGTTTAGTTCTTGAAATTCTGATGAAAACAACTTGAATACTAATCCTGTTTTCCAGACCTAGACACCTGGGATGTCGGTAAGGAGAGATTGCTAGGTAGAGGTCTCTGCTCTGAGTCCAAATTAAAGTTCTATTTGCCAGTTCTACTGGCGAACTCTGTGGCCAGAAAGCATTTTGGGGACATCGGATCATGGTGAGAGCCTGCTACTGTACAGTTTCTTAAAAAACAAACAAACAAACAAAAATAGCAAAAAAAAAAAATGCCCCGAAGAATTAGAAACAAGAGGAGCCCTTCCAATAAATCAAAGAAGATGGACAAAAAGAAAAATCTAGTCTATTGATCCAAATAATACAGGCAGACTAGCACGTACTGGAATTTGGGACTAAAACCAAAGAGAGCTGACATGAGGACATACTGCAGGGAGGGACAAGCACAGCCATGAATGGTGCCATTGTGTGACTATTTTAATTAATTTTTGTAATGAAGCCAAAGCTCTAATTTACCACATCCCAAAAGTAAATAGAAAAGGTTATGACCTTAATTTCAGAGGTGGGGAAGGAAAACCTAATTGCTAAGTAGTCATCTATCACTCATTACTGCAGTTGGATAGATACAGTTGGTGTGTTACTATGAATAGTCCAGATTCAACAATCAAAATAGTGGGTAATGACAGTTTTGTTCCCTTTTCCTTTCATCTTCTTTACAAGCCTTTGATTAATAACATTTTGTACCAGTTTTATTATGTGGATTGTAATAGTCCCTACTCCACAAGACTCTGAGTAAACCTGTCTGGGACACATAATAGCCTTTATTTTTGTCTTCTTAGTAAGCAGATATGTGAAGCTTCAGCAGGATGCAAAACATACAGAGATTACAGGAGGTTCTTCCTGCCTTCTTATTTTCTGCTAGCCCCTCGTGAGTATATGCCTATGCAGGATCTAGTGATGGACAGACAGTTTTTCCATGTAACATGTCTACAATGAAAAAAGTGCAAAAGTCACATCTGTTTCTAACCACGGCCACTAAATAAATACAATTAAATGTGTATTATATGCTGTTCAAAACATGTCTCTGTTTGCATCACTCAGACTGTGCACAACCATCCCTGCACTTGATTTATGGGGTCACCTCTATGGACTAAGAGAAAAGTGCATGGACAGATCTGAGACTGGTGGGAATCATCAAGCCTTGTGAAATGCTATACCTCTATATGTGCCCACATAAAAAGAGTGCAATACTATTCACTCACTAAATTGTTTTCTACTTTGGATCTTTTTTTCCTTTGCCCTGTAATGCCAGTTTAAAAAGAAAGTTATCCAGCATCAGAACATGAAGAATTTAAGCAGAAATGTTCATAATTAAAAATGCTGTTCTAGCAAGTTCTGCTGTGGCAGAAACAAAGGAGTGATCTGCCTTAGGCTGACTAGTTCAGACAAAGCGTACCAGAATTAGGGTGAATATTATTAGGTAAACACCTATAATGTGATAGCTGTCATCCAAAATACCAGTAATAGGTTGTTCCTGCCTCAAAATCCTTGTGTTAATATCCACCCTCCTTTCTCAGCATATGCAGAAGCAGCTGCCTTTTTCTAGAAACATGAACATTTCATCTGGCACTGTCCTTTTCTAATATTCCTACTGAAAACTGGGCACGTGATCTATAGTATATCATTAAACCTTCAGTGGCAAGGCAGGTTAGTTAGCTGTTTGGCATCACAGTTTACCAGTTTAGCTCCTAAGCACAAAATTTGATGTATTCTTCTGTCAGGAATCAAGATTATCAGGAAAATTCTCCTAGTGTTTTCAACAAGGGAGAATAAACCTCATGAATGACTTTCTAAACTTCTGTCAGTACAGGGAAATCTTCCCTCTTCTGTGGCTATCAAAGCAGGAGTGGACTGTCTTTTTTTGAAGGATATGTTTTAACATAACAAAAATCAGCACAAATCCTGATGGCCTCTGCTACCTGACAGAATGATCTAACAGTGTGTCTTGACTTTGAAGGCTGTAGCTCTGTGAATCAACCTCTAAAGAACGGTTTAGCACAAATCTTGAGAGACAGCTGCCAGTCTTATTGATGCTCAGGGATGATATATAGGGAAAGCACTGATCCTTTCATGCCCCTGTCCCAGTGGGTTGAGGCATAGAAGCAGAAAGGAGAAAGATCCCATGATACACGATCTGTGCACACGCAGCAGGCAGTGTGCTGGCTTCCAAAGCTGTATCTCTTCTGAAGGCACTAAGGCTGTCAGCAGAGGCAATGCCTCTCATTAGGCCAAGCAGGATATTTGGAAAAAGTAGCCAAGTGTTTGAGTGCATGAGCTCTTCCTAAAACCTGTGTGAAATTTGAAAACCTTCAAAGCTAAGTGAGGACATTTAAAATATAAAAAAATTTGGGTAACATTTGACATTGCTCTCATGCGTGAGAAAGCAAAGTGTTGTTTCTTAGAGAAGAGCTTCCACATCAGCTTTAGTTTGAGGGCTGAAAATATCCTCCCTGTATATCTGGGTACTTGATTGACATCCACATCTTTCAGCCTTTTGTATCCGAATCCCATGGCAACGCTGATTTCCCAGCCTGTGTTCCGCTGAGCAGGGACGGGTAAGCGGAGCCGAAGGGCGTTAGTTCCAGCTCATGGAGGCTGAGGCTTGGACTTCCCTCCTGCGAACGCTGCTTGAAAGGGGGAGCTGATTTTACACCCTTCAGTTGCAAAAGGAGCCCTTGGCTCTACTGCCAGGGCTGGCCTTTGGCTCTGTAGATCTCAGTCATCTGCGAAGAATTGCTGCTGCACACTGACCTAGATACTCCATCAGCTCTGCTGCAGCGCTGGCTCGGTGACGGGGCTGCCATTTCCCTGGTCTCTGCTCTGCCCTATATCCTGCCTTGGAGATAAAAAAAAAAAAAAGAGAAAAAGAAAAAGGGACAAATTAACATTAATCAGAATAGCATTTTCCTTCAATGGTTTTTCTGGAAAACAGGGTTTCCCAGGGAAATCTGTTGCCTTAATTTTCCCCTTCTGCTCGCCTTCCCTGACATCTCATTATGCTGCTTTAACTCAGAAATCCTGACACATTTCAAACATACGCTGTCCTCAAGAGAAGAGAAACGTGCCACCTCCATTCCTTGCTTTCCTTGTATATCCACCATGTGCACCGTAATATGTCAATGGAGAGTGGGGAGCACAATTTATGAGCTAAAGAGGGGAGCCCAGGGCGAGGGTAAGCCTGGATCCCTGACAGCAGCCGCCTGAGATGTCTGTGTTGCACTCCGGTGGTGTGTTGTTAACAGGGTGCTCAGTCCAGTGCGTGAGGCCGCACCTCGAGTCCTGTGTCCTGTGTCCCGTTCTGGGCCCCTCAGTTCAAGAAAGTCCAGTGAAGGGCAACAGAGCTGGTGAACGGTATGGAAAGTAATCCTATGAGGAGTGGCTTAAGGAGCTGGGGGTGTTTAGCCTGGAGAAAAGGAGGCTGAGGGGAGACCTTATCGCTCTCTACAACTACCTGAAAGGAGGAGGTAGCCAGGTGAGGATCGGCCTCTTCTCCCAGGCAACCAGTGACAGGACTAGATGAAATGGCCTCAAGCTGCCCTAGGGGAGGTTCAGTTGGACATCAGGAAGAACTTCACTGAAAGGATGGTTAAGCATTGGAATGGGCTACCCAGGAAGGTGGTGGAGTCACCATCCCTGGAGGTGTTCAGGAAATGACTGGACATGGGACTTAGTGCCATGGTCTACTTGACAAGGTGGTATTCAATCATAGGTTGGACTCAATGATACTGGATGTCTTTTCCAACCTTAATGATTCTGTGATCTGAGAAGTGTAGCTGATAGTATGAAAGTGTCTTTGTAGTTGCTGATCTCTACTAGAGAGGAAATGAAAAAAAGCCAAAAAGCAAACCCTTAATTGCCTCTAAAATTTCACTAGAATCAAATTAGATTGGTAATTTTTTATCTAAAAAAGTTAACAGATGTAAAGGCACATCTGGGAACACCAGTAAAGGGGGGAATGTTCATCTTTGCAGTCTTGCTGTAGAGGACTACAGGGACAACACCAGCAGAGAATCCCAGAAGGCAAACTACTTCTTCCTTGTTTGCTTTTTGTGATAGCACAAGGTCTTGAGAAGACACAGCATCCTACAACAGGGTGACGCACGGTGCTGTACTCCCTTGCGTCCCTTGGCAGTACAAGGAGAAGAGCTGGAGACTCCTTGGTTGAACCTGGTGCCTTAGTGACTGCTCTGAATAAAATCCCTGCACTCCTTTCTGCTTTGAACCTTGTGGAGCCCCAGACTTGGTTCTCTGCTCCTCCATGCCACTTTTGTGTATCCTGAAGTGAATCATTCAGACTAAAATGCTCTTCCCTTGGTTTCCTATCTCTGTTACAATGCTGTTGCAGGCTCAGAGGGACTGGCCAACCCTGTGTGCTACACCAGAGCTGGGGTGGTGTCTATCTGATGGGATGGACGATGTGTTTTTGACTTGGTGTTTGGTGGAATGAAGTGAACAGTCTCAGTAGTTGTTCAGCCGCTTATGAAAGAAGAGACCTTTACTGACAGATTTTCTTGCAGATTGTTCAGATAAGTATGAAGAAAACACTGCAAGGCAAAGCAATAAACATCGTAATTCACTCAGCAGGATTTGCAGGGCAACGTGAATAATGCAGAAGCAAGGGGAAACAATGCAGCTTTATTTCAAGATATATAAAAAGGCAACTTTGGAGCCTGACAATTTCTTAAATTAAAAAAAAAAGCTCTAAAGACCATCATCTTGAGAGAAATGAGGGATTCCTTGAATTCAGGAGACATTCTTTTCCTAAAGAAGAGGGAAGCCAAAAGGAGATGAGTTCTGACAGCCCTACCCCCATCTTTGGCTGATGCTTTTATTCTTGAGGTAATAAAAATAAGTGCTCCCACTAGTGCTCTTGCCAATGGAGGGACTGTAACAATGGCTGGTCTGGGGAGATGTCAGCCCCATTTTCCCCTCAAGCCACTTCTTTTTCCTCCCTCACTAACCTCTGATTAACCTCTGATCTTTCTTCTACATCCACAGTCTTGCCAGGGCCAAATCCTGAACTGCATAGTGAAGCCAGAGTGACGAAGCTGAGTGGGAGGAGGGAGTGATGGGAAGCTGGGTGGCAACAGGACAGGGTTTTGAGAAGAACTCCTTGAGGAACAAGTGTGTACAAGATATATTCCTTCTCCCTGAAGACTTCAGAGCACTTCTGTAGTTAGCGACAGGGGACTTCATCAGAAGACCACCAGCCTTAAAAGCCAGTGCCCGGCTAACTTTTGTGAAGATTTTCAGGTGACAGAGGACACAAAGCCCTAAAAGTTTGCTGCTCCAGTACTCTGGGGAAAGGCTTCACGTTGCTCCATGCCACACAACTATATTTCAGCTGAGCAGAACCAAACTGACCCGGAACTTGCCCCAGACAAACCAGTTAGATCTTTTGTTTCCATCTTTCCCACAAAGGTTTCCTGAAGCTGGGAACTGACTTGCCTTCCCCACTTCTCAGTGCAGATTGCAAAGCCCATCTTCCCCAGGCTGCAAAAGCAGACAGGGTGATGTGATTGGAGATGTAGGTGTGGAGGCTTTTTTAAGCAGACACATATGAATTGACAGTATAGACTATGTTTGGTGGTTTTGGTTTTTGAGGGGTTTTTTTGGAGGGACAAGCTGTTATTAAAAGCTTTTGTATTCAAATTGTTGAATTAGAGTATTTCACTAAAAAGTGTAGGTGGTTTATTTCTGTATACAAAATACACTGCAGAGCACTGCAGTGGCACCAGTGGATTAAAAATAAAGTAATATGAGAAGCCAGTGAGCTGTTTTGTCTGTCACCTGCCAAGAATTTGACTTTCAGTTGAATTCAGCAACTTTACTCTTAAAGGTACTAATCTTTCCAAGTAATAAAGTAAATGCAAAGATGGCAAGCAATGCATTTAAAGTATTTATCAAGGCTAGTGCAATAAATATATTCCATTCCACCATTTCTATTTATGAATTTACTTTAATGCAGCTAGATGAAGCAATTTTACGCAGAGCACACTAATATTCCCTTGCATTGATTGCCAATGCAATCTGAGATAGTGGCGCCGAAGAACAAATAGGAAATATGCTTCCAGATTTTGTTATTTCTCTCCCACTGTGGTCATTCGTTGGGCTTGCTTTCCTTATCCATCCCATCCTTCCATCACAGGCAAGAAGCTGAGTGTGCCAAGGAGGAGTGGTGGTTTGTGTCTGTGCCACACTGTTGTGTGAAAGCTGGTCCTCCTGCTCCCACGTGGACCATACACAGAGGGCACATTACATGCATGGCTGCTGCAGCATAAGCTCTTTGAAACACTGTGTCAGCTTGTCTCTCTGATATCCCAATAAAACAGAGCTTTTGGAGCATTAATTTTTCAAGATATGGGTGGTTATTTATACCATTGCAGTCTATGTAATGTCTGAGCCTTGTTCTGCCAGGTTGCTGTTTTATTTCTTCAGGATTCAGTGCACTTTCTATTGATGCTAATGACAAGTCTCCCACTTACAGTGCTGGGAGGAGGAACTGTCTATTGTGATAACAGCATATTGTATGTGAAATCTGATAATGAGGATGTTGCAGATACGACACTGCATTGATTTAATTGATTTGATGTCCATGCCTTGATCTGGAGCAATACTCTCTGAGCTTAACTTAGTCCTTGAAACTAAAGCAGGCTTTTATCAAATTATTTTTTGCAATTGTTGAAATAGAGAAGGAAAGAAGGAAGAAAGAGGGATTATTTGTATGCTGGGGGCTCCTGCACTTCACAAGTGATAGGAAAATTTCTGTCTCGAGAGACACTGAGGCTTTTATCTCCAGGTGGGAGCTGGGAGGCAGGAGCAGGTGTCTCTCACATTGGCAAGCTCTGCGTCCCCCTCTGAGCACAGAGCTCAGCAGGCGTGCCTGCGGTCCACAAATTGTTGCCAGCTGTCAAAGTGGAATGGTTCAGCAGTGAGTCTCCTGGGCTGTGTTCTGGCCAAAATTCAGTCGGATTACAAACCAATTGCTCCAGCCTCTCCCAGAAGAAGGAAATCACCATCAGCTGGCTAGTGGGATCTGGTCGCAGTGACCAGACAGTGCTGCTCCTCACCTGCTGCAGTGTGTTTGCAGGAGCCTGCTGGGCACAGTGGCTCTCTTTGCAGGTCTTATGAATGCAGCACTCCCTCCTTACCCAAGCTCTATGAATGATGATTTCCTGGAAAACAATAAATTAGAAAAAAAGAGAAAAAAGGAGGAGAGGGCAAGCTGTACTGCTGCAAGCAGCTTTCTCCAAGGAGTGATTTCTTGGCAAAACATCTTCTGAAACTCCAGGCACCACATCCTCCCAAAACACTACCACTTACGTAACTGAAATACAGACACAAATACCTTTCACCAAAATAAGATTCCCTTTATTTCACATATAGTTTGGCTGTGGACAGCCTGCATGTAGATTGTCATTGGAATCAAATCAAAGAGACCTTGCCAATTCTATAGGTAGCAAGGCTCTCTAATGACAGTTTGTCATCAATAACATTTTGGAAAAGAGAAGGAAGTTTCCTGTTTGGAGACTAGATCAGACACTGACTATTTGTGATTAAAGGTAAGACATTCATTTGAAACGGACTGTAATAGATACAGCTTGTCATGTTTCTTCCCTCTCCCTCTTCAGCACTGACTTGGTGCTCACTTGGCACTGACTCCATCACTGAAGGACTTGGTGACCAGTCTTAATCAGATGCCTCAGCTAAAGCCCCACATCAGTCCATTTGCAAGCTGGACCTTCAGCAGGACACATTTGAAAGAAGTCATTGTCTTTTCTTCACTTAGGGGTGCAGTGAAGCCATCACATTTCAGTCTTGTCAATCTTTTAAGAC